GGATTATGCATGCGGCAGAGGAACCACTTGAAGAAGTGTTCGTTACCACCACAACCCCACCACCACCACCACCACTACCAGTACAATCACCAACACCGCCAGCACCACCAATAACACAACAGCAAGAGCAGGAACAGTAGAAACCCCAAAGAAAAATGATACTTTTGTCAGTCGGTCATTTTTCGCTTTTTGCAGATTGTGCAGGAAGTAATTTTTGGAGCTTACATCCTGGCGTGACCGAAATATCCCGGGATTATGTTGCACCAAGGTTAGTATTTAAACCCTTTGTTAGTATTTCTTCTAAATCGCAAACGCACTACAATATTTTCGGCTAGCATTTGATGAGGCTGACCACTGACTATATATGCCATTGTTTCCGGCTCATAATGAGTCCCCATACCATAGCGTACTTTGTCCAACAGGAGTTCAGCAGGGTCAAGTATTTAGCTGTCTGGTTCTTAAATGCAAACGGGATGGGGAAAACGTGTGCCAAGACCATACTGCTTCGTCAAGTATAAAATTTGTAGAAGAAGATACACAAGCCTGTTAATGTTTTATGAATACGGGGAATATTTTTATTCATCAAAGTATGAACCCGTATTGCTCATACGCATTTTCCACTTCGGCGATACCTCTTCCAGTCCAGTGGTGCAAAAGCCTGGTAATCGAGAGTGAATAAAATATCTGGAGGTCTGTTTTACCGCATTGTCAGAATTAAATTGATTTCCTAGTAAAAGTTACCAAGTTCTGGATGAAGTTCTGGTCTGTGAGAGCAAGATCTGGTGAGTATGGTGAATGATGGAGAACTTCCAGCCACTTCACCATCTCTAGTTCTGCCACTGTGCGGAGTGTGGCCAAAAACAAAAACAAAACGAACAAAACAAAAGTATGTCAAATAACAGTGCCACCATGAAAAAAGAAGGTATTTATTTTGGGCAAATGTCTCACTTCAGACTTTATACTTGACTATCCAATACCATCACCTCCAACTACGTGCTCTTGATCATATTCAACCAAAGTTCAACTCAGCACTCATTGCGTACCAAGTGGAAACGGGAAATCCGCAAAGTATACTTTGATTGGAGGAGACGGACTGCGCTGGCGGGATCTGCAGAAAAGTGGCATTAATGGTTACCAGAATAGATCATACGGAATCTTGCAAAAACGAGTGAGTTGATATTCCTCAAGTGTGAGGGCGAGACAGGCTGGAGAGGCCTACCTCAGTGAATAAGTGAGGAGGTTTGTGAAGATGACAGGCGTCGAAGGCCATCCAGCAGTTAAATTGTCCTCAATAAATTTTCGAGTTCCCAAGACAAAAAACTAGCGTCACTGCGTACCTATATGGAAGCTGATTTGGTAGACTGAACGTCGCTCAGTTTATCAGAGTGCTTTGGTTCGAATCGCCGCCTTAGCGATTCTGATGTCCGTGCCTAACACTAAAGACAAAACTAAAAAAGTGAAATTACAGTGGAAACCTGCTGGACGAATTAGCACAGATTTCAGGGGAAAGGAGTTTGCGCTAATGAAAATGGCCGAAAATCGCGTCAAAAGACGAGAACCACAAAAGGGAAATTGAGGGACATCAGACGGTGTCAACCGAACAGACACAACCAACGAAAAGCACACCATCCGACACGGTGGACAATCCGCAAATCAGCTCGTCACAGCAAGTAGGAGATCATGGAAAGAGCCTAACCATTAAGGCCCTCAGGCCAGGTGGCTACTGAAAGCAGAATGGGACAAACACCAGTAAAGCGAGAACGATATTCTACAGCCGAGTGACAAACAGAATTTGGGACACGTGGCACGCGTCGGACTACGTGGATCGGCAGGAGCATGTGACTCATCGGCAGAGAGATAGAATTATGTGAATACAGAACAGGGATCCTGTTTTCGGATTTCTGGAAACTACCAACTGTCCGGCAGATTCTCACCGGAAGTTTTCAGCTCCAATTTAATAACTTCAGATCAATGAGCCTAACGTACAGTCGCTGTTGGAATATAGAGAGGAATTACCAGTGTCAGCCGACCCTAGGTACAGGACAAAATACTCACTGTAATTATATGCATAACGGCTTTCGTCGGCACGGATCCCGCTTCAGATTGGGAGGCGGGTAGGGGTCTTAACAAAAGATGAGCTGCGGATAGTGTCTACGTTGATTTGACCCAACTATGAAAAACTCGGCGAGCACGGTGAAATTCTAAATCATGACGGGAAGGGTACGGCTTGAATATATCCAACGCTCTAACTACCTGAAATACAAGACCCCAGTGGAAGCGTGCGTTTAATCATATTTGGATCAAGTTACCCGCCCTACCTACTGCAACCTATAGAATCCACCAAATCTGATATATTAAGCTGACTGCCCAAAAAGGACGTCCTAAGCAATCAATCTAGAACCCACCAGATGACTACCAGGCTCAAATTATTTATCTATATCCACCAAAACACAAATTAGTTAATTGGGTCTGGTAGTCGTATGATAGATTCTAGTCTGATTGTCTGGAAAATCCCGTTTGAGTAGTCATCACAGTAGGCTGGCCAGGCAGTTCCTCCCCACAGACTGTGTTGCTGAATTTGTGGATGAGGTGAGTTTGTAAGTGCTCTTTTTGGAATGATCTTAAGGAAACGACAAAATAATCACCACTCAGACTCAGGTGCCTGCATAGGCTAGTAGATAGCGTATGCCACTGCAATAACAACGTCCTACTCACCGCATTTTAGTAACATTTCTTATTTATAAGCTTAATGAAAACAAGCAACCAAAACGTGAATGCATACTTGCTTCATTTTCAACTGACCAAATTAGATCAACGTTAAATGTAACTAGAATTACTGCTGTAAGCTCCAAATACACTGGATTATGCGAACATGTTTTCACAAGGGCCGACTGAGATTGCACGAGACCTGTTATCGGGGTTAAGTCGATCCCCTGTGGTGATCGTGGTGGTGGTGTTGGTGGTGATGGTGGTGGTGGTGGTGGTGGTGGTGGTGGTGGTGGTGGTGGTGGTGGTGGTGGTGGTGGTGGTGGTGGTGGTGGTGATGGTGGTCGTGGTCGTGGTGGTGGTCGTGGTCGTGGTGACGAACACTTCTTCAAGCTCGAAGCATTTTGTTCCCGGTACGAAGCTGAAGAAGGCAAGTAGGGCAGGATTTAATGGTACCAAAAAATTTCGCGACGGCTCATCAGCTGCGACCTGTCGCTTCATAACATGGATAACGGGTCGGAAGAATACAACGGATTTGAATTACTGGGAAAAATCAATGCAGAAACAGCAGGGTCATGGTTTTGGGTCAAGCTGGCTAATCGGAACGTCATCTAGAAAGAGAAGTGTCCGCGAAATTGAATATGCTGCCACTCTACAAAAGATACGTGGATGATGCTTAGCTGGTTTTGAGGACATAAAGGAGGCTGAAGAATTGCTTTCTATTATGAATAAGCTGTATCGAAAGATCAAATTTACAATGGAGAAGGAACAAGGCAACCAACTATCCTTTCTGGACGTTCTTATGTTTAGACAGGAAGATGGTTCTATAAGACGTTCCGTTTTCCACAAGAATACTTGGAAGGGACATTACTTGCATCTTTTGAGTTTTGTACCCATACAAGGGCAACGTAACTTGGTATACGCTCATTTCCAAAGTACTGGGAACATTTGCTCCAATGACACACTGGATGCAGAATTTGTACGCCTCAAGAAAACTCTACTTATGCGAGGATATCCTGCACGTCTCATCCACAAATACAGCAACTCTAAAGGCCATAATTGACAGAACATTCAGTTCCGAAAAATCCCGTCCTTATATCTTTGCCCTTTAAGGGTGACAATAATTTAAATACTTAGGCAGAATGGCATTACCGACAAAGACAAGGGAGACTGGAATGGCCACTTCTGGCTTATTAGCGGTCGTCAGCCAGCCATACCCATGCCCGAAGTGTGGAACACCCGAGCCTCGAACTCGCGACCTGTTGGTTTAGAAGTCCACGCCTCTACCCACCGGGCCACGAGCTCGTTGCCCTGTCGGTTTTCGATCGGGAATATACAATGGTAGGGAGCGCTCACCGATCGTTCATACGGAACTCACTCGTTCCGTTGTGCCTTAAGGGCTCTCTCTCGAGCCCAACCAGCAGCCGCACAGCGGCGCATGATACATAGGCAGTATGGCAAGTGGTTCCTCTGCTGCATGCATAATCTGAGCCTGAGAATATCACGGTGAGCTAAGCGTCGTGGCTCGCAATGTTGCCAGCCAACACTGGAACTGAGACCCCACAATGTGCGTTTGCGAGGAGTAGTCGACTGGTGGACGTAGTGCATGGTTGTAGTGGCTCCTTCCTAATGTGACCTCTAACACTTTCAGGCATGTGAGCTGTACGCCGCACACTTCCTTTTTGTGTGAAATGCCGATACTAGTGTTTGGAAGCCAGGTCCTGGCAACAGCGATTCGGTTGGCTTCATAGATGCATGCTTTCGTTTTCATTGCTTTGTTCCGGGCCGGCTGACCTTGTGTGAGGTCCTCCAAGGCCGTCAGATTGATTTTCTACTCCACAAGGGAGGTCCGCAGGGTACCCTTGCAGCGTCGTTTTGGCCTCCTTGTCAACGATCAGCCTTAGCGACATCGTCGCCGTGAAGAGTCGTCTGGCTAATTACTTGTCATCCGTCCGAAGGAAGGGTCTGCTCCTCAGCATAGCGTTAATGAGGATGACTCCGGTCCGTTCCAAGGGCCCCGTGTTCAGTATCCTATCCTGCCACCCAACTTCAGTATTCTACGCCACCAGACGACCACTGATGACTTGCGGCAGACAGGATAGTGGTTCCACAATTTCGCTCAGAATGAGGAAGGCGAATCAAGCGTCGCGTCAATATGCCATTGGACGATCTCTGCAAAAGATGTAGCCAACACCCAGCTCCGCCATCTGGACGTATTCGGGTAAGTGAAAGGGTAAATTAGGAGTGGCGAAAAGACGGTGACCTTGAGAGGACACGATACCCTGCCTACTGTCCTACACAGAAATCGAATCTGCCTCCGAATAGACTGCAGGTGTGCTGCCAGACCTGCATAAGAAACACAAAGGAAGCGAAGTCAGAGAACAAAACCTCATGCGTCAACAATGACCTGCATTAATTGATACTCATAGATCAAGACAAAATTGTTGAGCCATCTATTCAGGCACCAAATGCCATGACATCCAAAGACAGTGGGAACCATAGAAGAGATAAGTCAGGTGGTATCACGCATCGTGAATTACCTACCGTGTCGCCAACACGCACTTCTTCACGACAGCACATGCGAAGGGTCAGGACGGGAGCGAGGGGCAAGTTGGGGTTTTGACAAAATGAAGCAAAATTAATTTTACACATTCTTCTGGATATACGACTGACAGTACCACGGCCATCAAAATGAAAGTCCAGCCTACCTTTATATAAGCCTTTTAACACAATAACACAAGACGAACTGTGTCATGGCAATGCTCATCCTTCGGGGAAAAAAGAGTTTAGAAGTAAAGGATGGAAGTGAAGAAGAAATAGCTAATGCATAATAGAAGTTGAAAGTGGTTAAGAAAACAGAGTCGACCACCAATGCGCGTTGGGTGGGGGTTTTTGACTGAAGATGATCATAAGCTAATGGAGTCGGGTAAATTGCAGAAGGACCCGTGACGTGTGACAAGGGTTGGCCTCTTCGATGTGACGAAGGACAGTTAGGATGGTGTACTTTGAAGCAATTGATTGAAATCCTCATGACAGAGCGGTTGCCACACACGAAAGAGACAACTGCTGCCATGGACGCGACAGGATGTGAAGGGGTCCACCACAGGGCGTTGCAAATTCTGGCGAACGCTATCGACACACCAAGGTGCAAATGGAGGAGTTCGGAGCTTAGGATGAATAGATGACATGCCAGATGCGTCGGGTGGAGGGGTAGTTCAGAGATGAGCCATCGCTTGTTACACACTTTGGCATTCAAATCGGCTAATTTTACGCCACTCGAGAAAACCATCCTGGCAGTCAGTAGGGTGGTGACACACAAGAATTATGGGTGGTGCTTGAGAAATTTGAAGCATTTTTTCCCCGGTATGAATTGAAAACAAGCATGCACAGCATAATTTATTGGGGCCAACAAATTTCGTGACGGCTTTTCAACTACAACCCAATAAATTCTGCTGTGCATGCTTGTTTTCAATTATGGGTGGGTTTAGCAGTGTTTGCGTGAGGCTACTGTTGACCGCAGAGGACGTGGAGGAATGGGGATAAAGTGGAATGGAGCATTGCCATCCCCTACTTGTCGTTACTTATGTTTAATAGGTAAATCTAGTTGTTGCTTTATAAGTGAATCATCTCACCTTATGGCAGATCTAGTTGCTGTATAAACATGTTTGTGTATTTTCATCAATGAGATAGATATTAGGAAAGTCTTTTGGTTTTCATTTCCGGAAGAAATGCGCATAAAAGTTATAAAGGAGTGAGAATAAGTACGAGTTTTTACAAAGATCTAGAACAATGCCCTTTCAAATCTACGATTGTCTTTAACGATTAAAATGCATTACTGTACATTATTTGAATTTTCTTCGTTGAAAAATGTCATAGAATTCTCATTATTGACTTCCTCTGTGGACTTTTTTAATTGAATGATTTAAAAACATGCACTATTGCTACATGATTTGGCAAAGTGTTCTCCGACTGACATATTTATACAGGTTTATAGCAGAGCCAGAGCCTATATTACACTTTGTCTAGAGTTAGTGGTGCAGCTCTTCCTTGTAGTCAACGGTGTTTATGAATTGCAAGGTGGCTCATTTCTGCCTAGGTGGCCGACCTCTTCTGATCGATACGTCTGAAGACAACTCTATACCTGCTCCCTCACCAGACTTACCAATTCATTTTCCTTACACGGTTACAGGTCAGCATCACAAGCAGGAGACCTACCCTCTTGTATTCGAACATTAATTCTTCGAATGCACGACAGCAAGGTTCACCCCAATGTCCATAAACCAAAAGAAAATCGCACATCCTCAAAACGCCCCAACAACCAACACCACCAGAAACCACTCTACCAGAGTCTCCACTACCACCAGCACCAGCACCTTCATCCTCCTCCTCCTCCTCCTCCTCCTCCTCATCATCATCATCATCATCACCATCATCAGCTTCATCATCATCATCAACCACCATCACCTCTTCAACAGCTGCCATCATTTCGTACCCGTATTGTATGTAACTGCACATGCTCATCACGCACCAGCCTACTTCATCAATGGCGAATTCGTCTCCCTAAGGCGGTGGGATGCGTGCCTGGAGCGCCAGCGTACATCCATCATGAAAGACGAAGATGCGGCCACTGGAACAAGATATTTATTGGTCTGACATTTCTTATTCTCTCTCGGACCAATCATTAGACGCAGTGGCAGATAAGGGTATTGGTTGCACAAGGAGTGCAGAATTTATAGTATATATGATGGTTTGTCAGTCCGCGTCCGAGTAGACAATAGCCGCGATTTCATCATCCCTGTTGGATGCTGGTGCTACGATTGCTGGGCAGTGTGGCTCGTTGTCACTTGGATTATTGTTTGCCCGCGTCCTCTCTACGTGAGTGATTCCCCTACCTAGGGAATATCTCAATACTGGATATAGTAACAGGAGGACATTGCGCTTGTTGCTGGATTGAGGGCCTGAGAAGCATGACTCGAGCAGCTCACAACTCACGCGGTTGTCACCCTTTGGGAGGATTTTGGCCTCTTGAAACTTGAAAATATGGTCGGGTTCCGTTCAGTGAGCCGCCATCTAGGAGCTGGCGCCTACTCGCCTCACTGCTGCCGCGTGCTCAGTTATTCCCTTTCGGAATGATCTCCCAGTTTCTCCGACCTAGTTATAAAGTTTATGAGTGGCATTAGTAGACGTACTGATGCAATGCCTTATGAATGTGCATTACACTGTCATAAAAATTTCGCAATTTTAAACTTCTTTAGGACCAAATTATACTCTCGCTTCATCTCGCTACATCTCATGTTACTGTCCGCCGATTAAGAATTCAAGTTATTATCCGCGAACTTAATACACCAATCCGGAAAGGGCATGATTACCGAGTTGGTCGGAGCCGGAGACACTGGCGACAACACTCCCCAAATAGCAAATCTAACAGATGATGCTGTACTAGGCGATCCCCCTCAGTCCTCTCAAGACTCAGAACACTGCTTGTTTATTTACAGAGTGTCTGTTCGCATCGTTTCCACTCTCCTCCTGCGCCTCCTTATTGCCATTTGACTGAGTCCTGAAATCGTATACGCCAAAGCACTCATGATCGCATCACTGCAGTGGCATAAGATATGCTAGGAAAGCGATAGGTGGACGACCATACGAATTGTGCTGATGGGACGCAGCAGTCGACTGACCAGCTTCCACATCTGAAGTCTGTCCCTCCCTGTGTACGGACGTTGAATTCTGTCTTATGTTAATGACACTACTTATCCATGAACTTCTCTGGTTACACATTCCCAACAAAAACGTCCTTTGGTGAACTGAATTCATCCTCGATCTTACCCGAGGAAGAGATACTACTGGCTCTATTGAAAAGGCACGAAACCAATTTCCGTTTTCTCTGAATCGCAAAAAAACTTAAGAAGGGCGTATCCTGTCCTTTCCAGATGGTTTTTCGGTAGATGGGTCTCTGAATGGAACAATCTGTTCGCCTACGTACATGAACGTCTAAGAAAGGCAGTGTCATGTTCGATCTTATGTACGATCGTAAATGTGATATTTGCATGTGTTTTTTTTCGTGGTCTGTAGAAGTAATTCTTCGTCCCTTGGATTTTCGACATTGGTGAAAATGTCATCCACATATCGCCTATATAATGCGGTTTACTGTAAGTTTTGAGCTAAGTTTTGTTCGATATTTGACGCAAAAATATCCGCAAGGATCTGTCCCGATCGACTGCCCACAGCTACGCCCTTGATCTAACCATACAACTTCTCGCTTAAAATGAACTGCGCATTCTTCGTGCATATCTGTAGTAGTTCCCGCAGTTGTCCAGACATGTTACAGCCCCATGCTCACAGAGTATGTCAGTGATTTCATTCAGGGGCACGCCTGTAAAATGGCTCTGCACGTCAATCGAAATCATGTGCTTATTCAGCAAATTTTGATTCATCAACACATCTACGAATGAGAAAGAATCTTTGGTATTGTAGGCAGCAGGGTTGCGCCTGATTGGTCTGATTTGTTGGACTGATCACTGGCAATTGTTATATTTTCATTGAAAAATCAAGTAGTGCAATCCAAGTTGGATCGTACGTCTGCCGTCGGTAAGTGTGCGGACATGTGGAGGATCCACGTCGATGTACGCACACGGCACTGCAAAGTCCGAACAGAGAAGATCATCATTCAAAATGAACTCAGACAATTCCGCAGTTTAGCTTAGTCTGCCTGATTTGGGCACACACAATGAACTGGAGGATCCATACGTGCCTACAACATATTGATCGAAGTTCCGGACAGTTCGAAACAATGTCCCTTCCAGTGGCCTGTACTCCGATTGCAACACATCTTCCTGAGCATATGTAGTGCGAAGTGTGCAGACTCTAATTCTACCGTTCTGCGTCTTCCTCATCCAGAAGAAATCGGCGTAATATCGACAGGGCTTGATTAGATCTGCAGTAGATTGCATGGAGTCGCATACAACGTAGCTTCCGTTCAATGCCGCGCATGGTTTGTCACGCTGCCTCCAGAGTGGATCATTGCCACACAGAAATCCTAACTTCGGCATCCCATAGGAAGATCGGGATTCAAGGAGACGCATCTCGGAAGTCGCATTTGCCGACAGTTTCGACAAAATGCGAACTACACTCTCCATTTCATGTTCATAAACTAACAAGTCATAATCTACATCGTAAAACATCCGCCGGTGATATCGTAACGATCCCAACTTCGAACAAAATCACAATATGAGTGTTATATTTTTCCTGCAAATGCAAATGCCAAAGATTCATTCGATCATGGGCATTTGGATCCCTGTCTTTAAAACAGCTGCGCACAACGGTGTTGATCAAGGCTTCGGAAGGTCTGCCAGTTTGAATTTGCCGACCTCTGTAAGTGGCTGGCTTGTTTTCTGATTGGGCGGATGACACCACCCTCATGTTGGAAATCAGCGCTTGCTCAACAGTACAACATATTCAAATATACTCCAGGTCTTCCCATGCCTTGTTTTCTGCTTCATTTTGTAAGCTGTTAGGTCGACGAACACAGAGCTGCATTCGGCTGAAAGCTGCTCTGCATTCCTCTGGTAGCATGCGTAAAAGTGAGCAATTAAAGTAGGTGGAAAATATAAAGCTAAGTTGTGTTCAGAGGCGAAATATGACCCAACTGCAAACTCAACCGATGAGCGATTAGCAACATGCCGAAAGCGTACAGCAGGTATCGAAGTTCATGCAATGTCTACTGGCACGTTTAACTGATCTTTTCGAATGGAAAGATAGTTAAGTGCATTTGTATGCTGGGGATTATAAGACATTGTCGAAATTGATTCATACACATCAACATCTAAATTAACCATGGGAATTCCACTCAACACCGCAAGGTGTACTTATATCAGGATGCAAAGGTACGGATAAGTTACAAATTTATACTACAATTCTGCTTTGAAGAACTGGACCACAAATAGGCATGTTTGTTTTGACGACTCTAAGTGAGCACACAACGTAATGAATTATAGTAGTCATAGTCTATTAGACACCTACGATAACCTAAATCATCTGATAACGAATAGTTGATTATAGCACATGAGACTAGAAAGTTCAAAGTTGGACTCAAAGTAGGAGGTGCGTAGGGACAAGATATGGGAGCAAATCCCCCTAAGACAGTCAGACACCTGGCAACTCAGGCAGTAGACCATCAGAGGTTGTTGATTTGATTTCGTCCTAGGATAGGTAATTTCTGATTGCGCGATCATTAACACAGCAAAACCGTTTTTCAGAGATAATAGTAAATCATCTGACTCCATTACGAAAAAACCCTCCGGCCTTGGTGGGGTTCAGACTCAAAATAGCATGTGCAATGCATGTGTGCAGCCAACGCTTTAACCATCTGTGATACGATACAATGACCAGAAGCCTCCGAGTTTTGCACAAATGGGGCAGATGAATAACGCAGATCTGCCGAGATGCCCAAAAACATAATACATGTTTACTTAAAGCAATAAATAGCAACGACTATGTGGATAATAAAAGGTCTGATGGAACTGCCAATTTTCTCTCAAAGTCGTTTCGAGGGTCAGCCAAATGGGTGATAGAAAAACAGGCCTTAGGAGAGAGAGAAATAGAAAATCAAACCACAAGATTTCAGACTTGTAGTCGTACAATATCTGTGAAAAGCAGACAGGATTCACCCAAAAAGAAGAGGCGGAATGCGATTCTCAATAGAATAGATGCAAGCCACTCAGAGTGCCGTGATTGAATGGCCGGACAGTGACGAGAAGGAGAGAGTAAAGCACCCTGAGGTATATAAACCTTGAAGAACGTGGTGTGTTCAGTACCCATACGGTATCTGCGAATTACTGCTCTGACTTCTTCATTTTCTTCCTCGTTATCATCATAACCACCGCTGTCATCGTAATCCTTATGGTCATCCAAAGAAAAGCACATGTACTTTTATCAAAATTAAAAAGCATGGCCCTCTGGCCACATTGAAGACCACATGAAAGGGGTCATTATCCTCATTTTCCCCTCTTCCTAAGCTCGATAATATTACTGCTGTTGATGCACCACCACAACCACCAACACCACCATCACCATTTTAGCTCAATTTTAAGCCTCACTGTAGCGGGTCTCCAGTTGACATTCCTGAAAATGGCCTGAATCAGTGGGAAGATATGAGGCTGCAGAGGTCTGGCAGTAAGGAAATTGGGATCGCGATTACACAAACACAATCGTCGCAAATTGCCGCCCACACTTAAAGAAAGGGGTCACGGGTTTAACCATGACTTCTCTCCGATTTTTCGAATTGAGTGGTTTAAATAGGAAGGTCGATGGGAGACTGGGACGCTGGTTGTATCCCAGTCAAGCGGCAAGTCGACTTCGCGCTGACTGGCAGCATTGCCCTGCTGTCAAAACTAAGCATTCATATTTCTGAGCATTTGGTCATCCCATTACAACTTCCTCAGTAATGCTTCTCCCTTATGATGTCCACCAGTCTTACATTGTTTGGTATTGTAAATCTAGCAGAATTAGCCAGTGAAGTACTGTCTGTGCCGACGGGATAGAAATTCGAGAGACTGCCATCCGCAATCCAATCAATATTACCAGCGTAGTCAGAGTGTTATTGCCGACAAAGACAAGGGAGACTGGAATGGCCATTTCTGGCTAATTAGCCGTCGTCAGCCAGCCATACCCAATCCCGAAGTCTGAAACACCTGAGGCTCAATCTCGCGACCTGTTAGTTAGAATTCCAATGTCTCTTATCACTGAGCTGAGGAGTCGCGATTTCGAGCTCCAGGTCTTCGACACTGCGGTGTTGGGCATGACTGGTTGACTACGACTAAGAAGCCAGAAATGGCCATTCCAGGCTCCCTTGTCTTTGTCGGTAATAACATTCTGTCTACATCATGCGTCGCTGTGCGGCTGCTGGTAGGGCTCGACAGAGAGAGAGAGAGAGAGCAAGAGCCCGTAAGGCACAACCGAACGAGTGAATTCCGTAAGATCTATCGCTGAGCGCTTCTCTACCACTACCAGCTTATTTGCAAACTAACATTAATTTAATCTTTGATGGCAATTTGCTATCGATGAAGGAAGCATTCTTCAATGTCCGAACTTGAGAATAAGAAGTTATGATGAATTTCCTAAACAGTTGGTGATGAGTTTGAAGACAGTCTCGGAAGCTGACGATCATGCCACTTATTGTACGTGGCTGGTGATTGACAGTTTCGACAACACGGACATTATCTTCATATCAGCCACTTCCTTGATCAGAAATCCTAGGAGGCATGAATAACGTGTACTTCCACGTAGTGTCCTGGGTAGGATGTGGTTATTCAGCCTCACCTGATGAACACAGTACTGCTGGGTATGGTGTTAGCGGTTATGCTTAGGGGGTAAGGATAGGGGTTGTGGGTTAGGGTTAGGAGTTAGTGATTCTGGTTAAGGTTTACGATTAGGATTAAGTGTTAGGGCGACTATTTTTCATCCTCTCAAATTACTACGGCGCATTCCCAAAAGATTTCCTTTTGAATACTACTACTTGACCTCCTCATCTGTGCCTTATTCGGCGCCACCTACAAAAAGCCCTATTACCACCGATGCCGTAAAAGACGTGGTTGGGGTTAGCTTACTTAAGGTGGGGCTACATAACTACAAATAATTGCTCTAATAACGTGTTTCACATGAACCAAGAATATTCTGACGGAATTCGCAGAGGCAACACTAAAGAACAGTGTTGGAAAGACTTCATCAATAGCTGAACATTACGCCCTTGCATGCACGACAGCTAGGTTCACCCCAATGTCCATATACCAAAATAATATCGCACAATCTCAAAAACGCCCCAACAACCAACACCACCAGAAACCACTCTACCATCGTCTCCACTACCACCACCACTACCACCACCACCTCCATCCCCTTCCTCCTCCTCCTCCTCCTCCTCCTCCTCCTCCTCCTCCTCCTCCTCATCATCATCATCATCATCATCAGGATAATCAGGATCGTCATCATCATCAGCTTCATCATCATCATCAACCACCATCACCACTTCAACAGCTGCCAGCATATCCTACCCGTATTGTATGTAATTGCACATTCTCATCACGCCCCAGCCTACAGTAGATGTGCTAACTCATGAAATGTCAACCAAAATTTCGAAATGTGTTCTCGTTTCGAAAAGATAAATTAAGTAGTGTTGTAAAACTCATCATGATGCAGCATAAATCTATAATGATCCAGTTATCTCAGGGTGTCGGCTTTCGAAAGAACTCATTTTCGGCTGTATGCAAGATCTATACTCTACAAAAAATGACTACTTAAATAGCATGCGATTTTCTCATTGATTTTCGATGCCCTTGAAAATTCAATTATACTTCATGGAAAACATGCATAAAATATTCATTCTTTTACTTATTCGGTAGAAACTCACGTCTTCATCCAATTTCATACTCAAAAGAAGAGTATACTTCGGTTTTAAAAAAGTTTCTAATTGTGAGATTTTTTAATAACGTTAAATGGCCGTTCATGAAACGTCATGTATCTGCATTTACGAATGTGGCTTGTAAAGTTAACAATGTTGCTCAAATCCACTGCTTAATTTTATGAACCTCATATGGTCTCTTCTTAACACCGTAGAGAAATGCATGCAATGTACTTCATCAATGGCGAATTCGTCTCCCTGAGGCGGTCGGATGCGTGCCTGGAGCGCCAGCGTACATCCTGCATGAAAGACGAAGATGCGGCCACTGGAACAAGATACTTATTGGTCTGACATTTTGTATTCTCACTCGGACCCGTCATCAGAGACAGTGGCAGATAAGGGTATTGGTTGCACAAGGAGTGCAGAATTTATAGTATATATGATGGTTTGTCAGTCCGCGTCCGAGTAGATAATTGCCGCGATTTCATCATCCCTGTTGGATGTTGGTGCTACGATTGCTGGGCAGTGTGGCTCGTTGTCACTTGGATTATTGTTTGCCCGCGTCCTCTCTACGTGAGTGATTCCCCTACCTAGGGAATATCTCAATACTGGATATAGTAACAGGAGGACATTGCGCTTGTTGCTGGATTGAGGGCCTGAGAAGCATGACTCGAGCAGCTCACAACTCACGCGGTTGTCACCCTTTGGGAGGATTTTGTCCTCTTGAAACTTGAAAATATGGTCGGGTTCCGTTCAGTGAGCCGCAATCTAGGAGCTGGCGCCTGCTCGCCTCACTGCTGCCGCATGCTCAGTATTCCTTTCGGAATGATTTCCCACTTTCTCCGACCTAGTTTTAAAGTTTATTAGTGGCTTTAGTAAACGTACTGATACAATGCCTTATGAATGTGCATTACACTGTCATAAAAATTTCGCAATTTTAAACTTCTTTAGGACCAAATTATACTCTCGCTTCAAGGTGTATGATGAAAAATTCTGAAATGAGTTTTCGATAAGGAAAGATTACTTGGTCGCGGTTGTAATACTGATTAGCTTAAGACCTACTTTTATAAAATTTCATCCTTCGCAGGATGTCGTCTTTTAAATATACTACTTTTCAACCTCCTGCAGGAAGCGGGCTCGGTAAAAAATGACTACTTATTTAGCATGCATTTTTCCCATTGATTTTCTATGGTCTTCGATATTCAAATATATTTTATAGAAGCCATAAACGAAAATATGCTTTCTTTTAGTCAATCAATAGAAAATAACGTCTTCTTTATATTTTATACTTAAGGAAGGAGTATAACTAGGTTTTAAAAAAGTTTTCTAATTGCCGAATAATTCGCAGCCTGATCAGTCGTTGCATTACCGCTGAGTGATTTCCGTCTACAAGGTGCATGCGTTCCGTGAAAAGAAAATCACATATTTTTCAATGCCATTAAAGAGATATCATACAGAGTTCATAAAATTTTGCAATCGATGAGGACCATGATGAACATTTCATGAGGAGCTGTGGTACACGTCCAGGTACGATGCTATGTGAATGGACATTACGCGGTCTTAAAAAGTCTCATTATTAGAAGCTTTTCTAAATCCTACTTAAACTCCTTCCTTAAGTATAAAATATAAAGAAGACGTGAATCTGTATTGATTGACTAAAAGATAGCATATTTTTATAAATGGGTTCTATAAAATATCATTGAATTTCCAAGAACATCGAAAATCAATGAGAAAAATGCATGCCAAATAAATAGTCATTTTTACCGAGTACGCCTTCTACGGGAGATTGAAGAGAAGTGAATTTAAAAGCCGACATCCTGCCGAGTCCGAAATGTTATAAGAGTATGCCGCAAGATAGCCAGTATTACAACCGCGACCAAGTAATCTTTTCTAATCGAAAACGCATTTCAGAATTTCAGCCAACATTTCAGGAGATAAGTCACTTACTGTTGATAAAACTTCAGAAATAGCAAAATGACGAACGTGTCAGTGTACCTGTGAGAGCCTGAGAAATGTAAAGATAATAAGCTTGGTTTTGAAACAAATATTTGAAAAGTTCCAACAAAATCGTACCCCATTCGTATTGACTGTCATGCAAATGGCGGCGTGTCGTGAAACGCCTTCACGAAAATCTCAGTGAACTTATCGGTTTTGTGAGTAATCGGTGGAGACAGGATTAGCACAGACTTCATGAGCGCCAGAGAAGTTCTCGGCATTCAAATGGGCTAATATTAGGCGCTACCCGAGAATACCATCCTGGCGGTCAGCAGGTTGGTGCCATACACGAGGCATGCACTGAAGCAGTCCGCGTCGAGTTTGAGAGCCATGCCAACACGCATGAAGCATCTATGCAGCGTGTGTACTCTCTTCACCGCATCAAGACGAGATTAATAAAGGCAGGCAGAAGTTAGAGTTTGTAGTTCTGTCTTTGCTGTGGGCAAGTATAGGTTGTGTAATCCTGCTGTTATATTTATTTTCGTAATCTTTGTATATTTTATCAATTCCTGACTACAGGAATCCACCCTTCGAATTTTGCCTGAGTCGTTCCAATACGAACTATTTTACCGAACCATTATCTAGCATGATGCGGCCGTCGGCCCTTCGCCTGCCTCTCTCTGTAATCTATTTCTTTCAAAAGGTTCTTTCATGTTGGTACTCACCATACAACGCCTTCTGTTAGGGTCGATGGTTGCGTTTGGGTTTACTTCGCCTCAGTTGGAGCACAACCGCTCAGGTTCTGCCGCATTTCCAAACGTTGCCTTCTGTCGGACGTGTACTCTATGATATCTGATGAGCCTCCTCGATGTACGCACACGGCACTGCAATGTCCGAACAGCGGAGATCATCATTCGAAATGAGTTCAGACATTTCCGCAGCCTTATTTAATTTGCCTGATTTTGGTGTGCACAACGATCTGGAGGATCCATATATTTCTTTAACGTACTGATCGCAGTTCCGGACAGTTCGAAACAATGTCCCATCCAGTGGTCTGTACTCCGATTGCAACACATCTTCCTGCGCATATGAAATGGGAAGAGTGCAGAATTTAATTCTACCGTTCTGCGTCTTTCTCATCCAGAAGAAATCGGCGTAATAGCGACAGGGCGGGATGAGTTGTGCAGAAGATTGCACGGAATCGCATACAACGTTACTTCCGTTCAATGCCGCGATTTCATCATCCCTGTTGGATGCTGGTGCTAGGATTGCTCGGCAGTGTGGCTCGTTGTCACTTGGATTTTTGTTTGCCCGTGCCTTCCCCACGTGACTGATTCCCCTACCTAGGGAAAATCTCAATACTGGATATAGTAACAGGAGGCCATTTCGCTTGTTGCTGGATTGAGGGCCTGAGAAACATGACTCGAGCAGCTCACAACTCACGCGGTTGTCACCCTTTGGGAGGATTTTGGCCTCTTGAAACTTGAAAATATGGTCGGGTTCCGTTAAATAAGCTGCGATCTTATAGCTGGCGCCTACTCGCCTCACTACTGCCGCGTGCTCAGTTATTCCCTTTCGGAGTGATCTCCCAGTTTCTCCGACCTAGTTTGTAGTTTATGAGTGGCTTTAGTAAAAGTACTGATGCAAAGCCTTATGAATGTGCATTACACTGTCATAAAAATTTCGCAATCCGGAAACAACATGATTACCGAGTTGGTTGGAGCCGGAGACACTGGCGACAACACTCCCCAAATGGCAAATCTAACTGATGATGCTGCACTAGGCGATCCCCCTCAGTCATCTCAAGACTCTGAACACTGCTTGTTTATTAACAGAGTGTCAGTTCGCATCGTTTCCACTCTCCTCCTGCGCCTCCTTATTGCCATTTGACTGAGTCCTGAAATCGTATACGCCACAGCACTCATGATCGGATCACTGCAGTGACATAAGATATGCTAGGAAAGCGATGGGTGGATGACCATACGAATTGTGCTGATGGGACGCAGCAGCGACTGACCAGCTTCCACCTCTTAGGTCTGTCCCTCCCTGTGTACGGAAGTTGAATTCGGTCTTATATTAATGTCAATACTTATCCATGAACTTCTCTGGTTACACATTCCCAACAAAAACTTTATTTGGTGAACTGAATTCATCCTCGATCTTACCCGAGCAAGAGATACTAGTGGCTCTATTGAAAATGCACGAAACCAGTCATCGTTTTCTCTGAATCGGAAAGAAACTTACAGTGAGTGACCGATCTCATGAAATGTTGGCTGAAATTCTGATATGAGATTTCAAATAGGAAAGATTACTTGGTCGCGGTTGTGATACTGATTATCTTAAGACATACTCTAATAACATTTCCGACTTCGCAGGATGTCGTCTTTTAAATACACTTCTTTTCAACCTCCTGCAGGAAGCGGGCTCGGTAAAAAATGACTACTTATGTAGCATGCATTTTTCCCATTGATTTTCGACGGTCTTGGAAATTCAAATATATTTTACAGAAGTCATAAACAAAAATATGCTTTCTTTTAGTCAATCAATAGAGAATCACGTCTTCTTTACATTTTATACTTAAGGAAGGAGTTTAATTAGGTTTTAAAAAAGTTTTCTAATTGCCGAATAATTTGGAGCCTGATCAGTCGTTGCAGTACCGCTGAGTGATTTCAGTCTACAAGGTGCATGCGTTCCGTGAAAAGAAAATCACA